GGGTCTATTCAAAACACATTATCTTTAAATATATTAATGCATAACCTATGAAATTTTTTGCACATGTTCTAGACATGTAAACTAAGGTATTGACATAGGGATTTCAAGATTATTTGGCTACATCAACAACTATTGCAGTTCTTCTATAGAACATTAAAAAAAAACTTTTTTTAGGCCTAAAAACTAATAAATAAGAAGATGGGATAATAATTTTAGAATTTTGAAATGTCATTCCTTACAAAATAATATAACAAACATTTCCTGAAAATTTGAAGTGATTTGCTTTACTACTTCACAAGATATCATATTTCATATAATATGATATTTCATATATATTTTCAATAACATATTTCATATATATACATATTTTCAATAACATGATATTTTGTGAAGTAGTAAAGCATTAAAAATAATAATTGCAGAATTTACTGACATTTCAATAATTCTTATATTTACAAAAACATGTTTGGGGCATCGTTTCCAGATTATAGCATTTAATGCTTCATTATTGTTTTGTGTCAGACCGTGTAGGCACTTTTCAAGTAGTTCTTCATTGCTTAAGTCTTTGAATACAAAGACAAGAATACTTTTTATTGCTAATGGCAAGCTTAGCTTGGGTTTATATGTTTTATGCCCACTTATATGGTCACCTTTCCATTTACACCAGATGGCAATAGTTCGTGGGCAAAGTTGATGACGTATATTCATGTCTTTAATATCAGAGTTGTGAAAAAGCACTGCCCATACAGCCTTTTTCATTTGATATATATTACCTAAATTTTGTCTATAAGTAAATCCAAAATAATTTTGTAAAAGGTTAAGTGCTTTATCGGTTAACCTCCCTTTTTTCTGCTACTGCTTTTCCATCACACTTTTTTTTTCCGCGTAGACGTTGACGCAGTGCACGACCACGACTTCTCATTTTTTTTTGGATGTGCCCAATACATTCTGTTTTTTTGATCTCTATATCTTTGTATGGACATGAAGCTAATACTGCAGAATACGATGAGGTATCACCATCACCCAAATAACTAGTACATTGTAACTTATATTTTTCGACAGACCGATGGAAAATAGTAATTGCACCTGCACCTTCCAAAGCACCAGATGATCTTTGATGATTAGCAAGACATATATGGTTGGCTTTCCAATCCTCATATTCTGGAGTTCTTTTTTTGCTTTTCCAAAGAAAACATCCTTTACAATGTTTTGACAACACAACAGCATCTATACATTTGCCTGTTAAAGTAGATATGGCTGTGACAACACCATTAAATGATGAGTGACCTATTTTTTGCCACGTTCCGTCAATTGAAACCTGATATTGAATTGTATCATCATGTGAAGCATTATTATTAATCAAATTTCTAGTTTCTAATGCAGCTTTGTTAGTAACCTGTTGAGCAACAGTTTCATAAGCATTGTATAATTTTTTGTTAATTTTATCATATGCATTGTAAGTAATTGAAGGAATATTCATTAGTTGGTGGTATAGTTTCATTGGTTCATAACCCTCACCTGTTTCTCTAAATGCTAATACAGAAAGAACATTTATTTCATAGCTATCTCTTCCTACAGAAATATTAAAAAGATTTGAAATAGGTCTGGAAGTTTGAAATAAACAACACCAATCACAGGAAGTACAGCAAAGTTCCAAACAAAGTCCCATTTTTTTATTAGGACAATTCTGTATGAAAATTGAAGAAAAGCAACTTGGACATTTCATAACTTCGAGAATCATTAAATGAAGTAACTCAAAGTTCATTATAAAGTGGAAATCATTATAAACAAGTTCTGGATTTTTCCTTGCAATATTTTTTTTTGCACTAGCTATTGTTGTAAAGGAATTTGGTTCTTGTGGTATAACTGTGCTCTGGCATTGATTTTTTTGTGCTTTGTCGTAACGATTAATGCCTTAAATGTCTTTTTTTTCTTCTAGCATAGGATCTGACCATTTTAAGGCTAATAAGTTAACAGAACCCAAGTCTTTTATTCAGAACAAATATGTTATTAATCAGTCAGACTATTAACTATTCAACAAATTAAGCAACCATAAGCGATTTTGTTTTCAATTTATTTTGAGAAAGTAACAATGTAAAACCACTATAAAAACTTGTTTAAGCTTATGACTTATTAATTACAGAACAAACTAGATATTATCCAGTTGTGTTTATGGATGTTTTGCGTTGCTAAAGCCGTTGCTACGAAACTTTTTTTTAAAAAGTTACTTTTTCTCAATATCAAAAAAAGTTTTGCCAACTAACTTTATATATTATTTATCAACAATAAATAGCCTATCAAATGAGCTAAATATCAAAAATTTCATTTTTTTGAAGATTTTGAGAAAATATTTGGTTTGTACCACAACACCAAATATGTTTATTTACTTTTCATCACTTACATTATATTAAATATTGCAGTAATTTTGGGTTTAGTTATAATATTTTTAAAAAATGACCTTTAAATATTCTTTAAAAAAACAATGGGCCGCAGTAAAAAACTTGTACCCTTCTAAAAAAAGGTCTGGTTACAGGCCTGTAAAATTATAGTTACTTTCAATTCAAAGTACAGTTTCTAAATTATTAAACACAGAGTTATACAATGTGTTAATTGAAATTAATTACAACTATATATTTAGGTATTTTAAAATTTATAAACTTTTCGTAACATTTAATGCTAAAATAAATATACAGCAATTTACTTATAAGCTGTAGTTAGATATGCAGTATTTTCAAAGTAAATACGAATTTTTAAATAAAAAATAATAGTTTTTTCAAATTACCTCTGTTTCAATTTTTAACAATATCTTATATACTTTGTGTATATAAGATAATGTTAATAATTAAAAAATTTTATATAATAAATCGCATTTTAAAAATGCACTCCATATAAAATTTATTATATTTTTCATAAACTAAGGTCATTTTAATAATCTAGGTGTTTAAATGTTTTGCTTTTTCGTTGACTTTTTGAATTTGATAAGTTGAGTTCATTTATGCCATACGGCTAATTTTTTAGCTGAAATAATTGAGGATTTTTAATAGCTTTGAATGACATTCACTGTTTTTAAATTGTTCCAAATATTAAGTCCACTTTTTTTCCAGTTGAAGCACTTAAATAGTCTTCATTATTATCATCACCAGATCTATTTAATTTCACTTCGACATTTTTTAAGTTGCTAAATTCATCAAAGCACATTTCATATCAATTTCAATAAATCTGTCTGCTAAGAATGGACAGCAGTTTTCTAGGCTTTCCCATTTTGGTATTACATTCAGAAGCATCCAAGAAAAGTATTCATTAATTTTCCACTCCATTCATCTAAATATTTCAGACAAGAAGCCATACTTGTTTAATAAATCATTAAAAAAGGCATTTAGTGTCATATCCATCTTAAATCATTAAAAAAGGCATTTAGTGTCATATCCATCTTCTCTTCTTCAATTTAGTTTTTATTAATTTTAATCACCTCAATGACAGAAATATTTTTCTTTTCTATTTTCAGAATATTTTCTTAGAATATATTCATCAGAAAATGTATTTGCCATAAATATATTTATATAAATATATAAATATATTTACATAAATATATTTCATTAAAGTTATTCTTAAAAATCTTTTTGAGTAGTATTGGAGTTTGACTTTGTGAAAAAAAAATAATTTCAAAGCATTTGAATTAGCCATGTAATACCAGGTAAGAGTGAAAGCCATCGTGTACCTCCGTGAGACAAAAACTGTCTGTATTCAACATCAAAAAAGTTACAGTATGTTTAAACATTATGTGAAAAGTTATGCAAAAGATGACAATGAACATATGTAATCATTATCTGAAAGGTTATGCAAAAAAAGGACAATGAACATACATCAAAGCAAGGGTGGATCCAGCATTTTTTGGTCTTTGAGATAACTAACTTCCAGACATGGAGCAAACTCTAAACATTTATATGTTTATACTTATGCTAAATAAGGATGCTTTGCAAAAAGTTGCGACGACTGGGAACAAAAAAACCCTAAAATATTTGCCCCTCCCCCTGTCCCAAATGTGAGAGCAACAAGTTAATGAAATATTTTTTGCACTATTTTCAACTAGACTTGTATTCATCGAGATATTTTAAATTTCATAGTAAAATATTTTAGCGTTAAAAAATTATGACCATATAAAGTTTAAACCTCCCTCATTTTGAGGGGTTGCAAATTTTATATGGACATAATTTTCGAACGCTGAGAGGTAATATTATGAAACTTAAAATTTATTGATAAATATAAGTCTAGTTGAGAATTGTACAAAAAATATTTCATCAACTTGTTGCTCTCACGTTTGGGGCAGGGTGGCAAAAATTTTGGAGCTTTTTTTGTTCCCAGCCTCTAACTATAACAATTTTTTGCAAACTCTCATTATTTGACATAAGTATAAACATATAAATGTTTGGAGTTAGCTCCATGTCTGGAAGTTAAATATATCAAAGGCCAAAAAATGCTGGATCCGCCCCTGCATCAAAGAGGTTTTTATGATTAATAAGAGTTTTAATAAAAAAGTTATAAATTTATGTTATTTTTATTATATAATTATTTTTTTATTGCTAATAATTCAAACTAGCAGTTTAATTGCTATCTAAAACATTTTTTTTATTTTTCTTTAACTAACCATTATCAGTTCCATAAAGATTTTTTGCTACATTTTGCCCCATTTTGAAATCGCAACAAAATGAGATTTTGAAAAAAAAAGCTGAAATTTTATTTTTAACATTTATAGATTGAGTATTCAAATAGACAGTTTCAAATAATCTCCCAGTTAACATTTAAATTATTGGTTGGACAAGAAATTGACTTAATATGTTACTCTTTGATTAGATTTATATGTACAAATATATACTGATCAAAAGTAACATTTGTTAAAATAACATTTATTTAGATTGAGTAAATAAGTTTCAAAGTTTAAATATTTAATTCAAAATAATATTCTAAAAAAACAACACAAATAAAAGTATACAATCTCTCACATTTAGTCATGTTAGCTATTTCCTTTAATAAGTGTCAACCATCACCTACATTTGAGTGTTTTTTTTACTAATTTCACTGATTCATAATAATAAATTGGACATTAAATGTTGAATTTTTAAAGAAGTCGTATAAATGCTAAATAATAAAAAAAATGGATATAAATAGTAAGCATATGTTTATCTGTCAAATCTTTAAATATATATTTTTTCTTTTGATTGTTTATCAATAAGTTTAAAGAAAAATTATTTTTAAAAATTAATTTTCAGAATTATTAAAATAATTTTTTTTTTTTTTTCAATTATTATTTGTATCAATAAAAGTTGAAAAGTAAAAGAACACAGATGTTTAATTATGAAAATACTAGCAAAGCTTTTAACTACACTAAAATGTCTATAAAGCTTTAAAAAAAAAATCAACTGTGTAGAGGAAGGCCGGTTAAGATAGCGAACGTTTTGAAAGAACTCGCAGAAAAAGTTCTTGCAAAACAGAAATTAAACAATAATTATTTGTCGGTGTGTTTATGTTATCGTAATGATTCATTGCCTGTATGAATTCTCAATTTTCAGCAAGATGTCTTATTATGTAATTTCTGCCTCCAATTTTATAAAAATTTTAAAACTACCAACTGTTCTAACTAAATTAGCACAAAATAAAGACTCATTCCAAAAAATATTTCTAAAAAAGTTACATCTAAAGGGCACCATCAATTATGAATAACCGAAACCAATGTTTATACTTAATTGTTTAAAACCTCGTCAATAATATTTAACTTTAATAGTATTGCCTTAATAATATTTAAAATAACTATTTGGCCTTTTTTAAAATAAAATATGTAAAAACAGTTTTGTTTTCACCTTTTTTTATGTTTTTTTGTCTCGCCCAATTTGCCATCTTGCCCCGTTTTTCCCCTATATCTTTTAATTTTATATCAAGAAAAATAGTTAAATAAATAATAAACGTATAAACCTTGAAGTTCAGACTGTATTAATTATTTTTCTGATCCTCATTTGACCTACAAACAATAGCTATTATTTAGAATACCAAGAAAAAGTGAAAAATACATGCAATATCAATAACGAAACAAAACCTAAGAAATTACATCAAAAATTAGGAACCATATAAAATCCAACATTAGAAACTATATAAAATATCAAAAACTGAAAAAATATTATGATCTGAAATAACAGAAACCGGATCACGAATTAAAAGCAATTTAATTTTCTTAATAATACATTACATTCTATATAATTACGCTTATATGAAGAAAACATTATATAAAAAAATTTTTTTGTTAATTTTTTTATAGGGGGGAGGGAAGGGAGTTTCTGCTGTTGGGGGGATAAGCTGTTTTTTAAATGAATCAATATTTGAGCGGGTTTTTGCTATCATTTTGCTTGTTTTCATTTTGTCACTTTATTAGTCGCATTAAACCACTTTTTCTGAAAATCTTTTTTTATTTGTTACTATTCCACATGCATTACGAAAAATTTATTATCATTTTTCCCCAAAATCTTCAACCTTGCTCTCTTTTGGACGGTTGGAAAAACTTGCATCATTAGGAACAATTTCCACATAAACATCTTTGCACCACTGGAAAAAGTAAGTAAAAGAGTAGCTAGATTGGGTCAAAAGAGAAATCAAAGTTCTTGTTTTTTAATAAATGGTAAAACTCTTTTAAAGGCGTTCTTCAAAGTGACGAAACAAGAGATTAAAGTTACTTGCTACACAAAGAACTTGTACAAATTTTTTATGCCAAATATACTGAAATTTATTATGAATTAGTTTTAGTAAGGGTATCTTTTCTTATAGTAAAGTTATTGAGCAGCACAAATTATGACCATTTTTTTATCTGGTATTCTTTTTACCAAATTCTTTACGCGCCAAATCAGGACATAAGCGTGTTAAATATTGAACTTTCTAGCTATATCGCTCTGTAAATGGTTCGAAATTTATGCAACAAAACTGAAAATCACCATTATCTTTGACATTTTTTTTTCTTTCACTTCTGATTTTTCTTCCAATTCTTTTAGTATGTATAAAATTTATCTATAACATTAATTACCGTTGATTTCGTTAAATTGTATGTTGATTAGTTATGCAACATAAGTAAGGATGGCTCCTTCACTCATTTTCAAAATGGCGATTTATTTCTAGCCGTAAATTACTTTGTATAACTCATATTAAATTAGTTTTCATTTAAAAGTTTAAATGAAAACATACTAATGTTTAATTTTTTAGCAAATTACACTATTGAGTAAAACTTACTTATGTAATTTTTTAAATGCGTTAATAAACCGATTCTCCATTCAGATATTTTTTCCCCCGAAGCTCTTTTTAAACTTACGCAAATAACGGAAAATATAAAAGCTCAACAATGACTTAAGTCCTTACTTTCTGGCAGTTTTTTTATTCAACGCAGCTTGTGGATGCTTGTAAAATACTTCAGCGCAGAAATTTACGAAAAAATCTGACTGCTATCGACTTGACTTATACTTGAAAAAGTAATTTATTTTTACGAATAACTACGAAAAAGTAATTTAAGTAAAAAATAAATTTACGAAAAAGTAATTTATTTTTACGAATAAAGGAAATTAACAAGAAAATTTTTTTTCAAAGTCGTTTAAAATTTATTTTTTCTAAAAATTTTACTTACGCTTGTAATTAAATTTGAAACGTAATTAACTTTTATATATAAGTAAAGAAAATACGAAATAATTCTACGTAAATGTAATATTTAAAAGTTATGAATAGTTCTTGAAAAATAAACAAAAAATAACTTAACTATTGTTTCGGTCAGAATGATTGTTATCAAGCTAAATAAAAAATTTATTATTATAAAAAGAACAAAATTGCAAAATGTAGACTTAATTCTAATAAACAAGACAGATTTTGAGAAAAAATTAAAAATTAAATTTTCACACTTTTAAAATAAATTAAAAACCCAAAAAAAATTGATAACTTTTGATAACCACAACAGATGCTTATTTTAGTATATTTTACCATTTAAAAATATTTACAATGTACAAATGTATACCAAAATTATTATATCTAGAGCAAAAAAAAAATCAAAAGGGCCGACGACACGCGTTTCAAAGTAGAGAGGCACAACCGTCAATTTAAAAAAAGTCCTCTATATCTAGAATTTTCCTTAAAAAAATAAAAAAGGCACTTTAGAAAAAAAAGTGGGGGCCCCCTGGTGTTGTTGGCTCTGATCAACCAGGGAATAAATATTTATATATAAGACTTATATAAGTTTTATTACCGAGAATTATTTGAAAATGGCTTTTTTACAAAACTGGAACATATAAGAAATATACAAAAATGCCATTTGCAACAAGTTAAGAAACAAAATTTTAAAAAGTTTTTAAAAACTACATTTGCATGATTTTATTTGACAATTAAATACGCATCATTTAAGGGGTCGTCCATAAATTACGTTACGTAATTTTTTGACCTCCCTCCACCCTCTCGTCACAAAATTGTAACAGTTAACTAGCAAGTTTTGTATGAGTCATCATAAAACCACCAATCTCCTACCCCCACAATCCCCTACCCCCTTATAGCGTGACCTAAGTTTATTTTCACAACGCTTCTAATTCTAATTTTTTTTTAAGTTTAACTTTTTAATTTAACAATCGCGTAATTTTTTTCATTAACTAAGGGTTTTAAAAGATCATCTAAGATCAAACAAAAGTTATATGTTTAAAAAAAAGTTATATGTTAATTACTTAAAAACAAAAGCACCTTTAAATGAAAAATTGTACAAAGATCTCTTTGAAAAAACTCGTAAAACTTTAAAAAGAATCACTACTCAAAATTAATTGAAAATTTTAATAACCCACTTGGAAAATATCAAGAGAATTTGGTGGAAAACAAAAAACTTGCTCTGGTTTCCTATCGCAGGTGATTAGACGAGATAACAAAAATGTTTTTGAACCTAGATTAATAGCTTATAAGCTTAAAAAAATCTTCATTGACAGGGGCGTATATTATAAAAGTCAAAAAAAGATATTGACCCCTTCACCCTTCCTATTTTTTTTAGTTTTGACCAGCATTGAGTGTATTTTATGAAAATGTATTAATAATTCTTTTAATGAAAAATAAAACCTTAAAATTAATTTAAAATATAACATAAAAATAACTTAAAATAAAAAAGTAGATAGAAAATGTAAAATATACAGGTTATAATTTTTAAATACAAGATTTTACTGTGTAAATTCTTTTATATAGTTTTATAAACAACTTTTAATTATAAATAAACTTTATAAATACTTACCAAGAGTCAAAAAAAGTTATTGTAATAACTGCACAAAACTTAATAATGTTTTTAAAAAATGTCTGGCTAACAAAAATTGCTGTTTAACAAAAGATAGCGTAGACATTTTTTGAAATTATATATTTATTATATTTGAATTTTATTTAAAACACAATTAATAAGTATTTATAAAAAACTTGTTAAAAACTTGATTGCTTTCTGTGGCCACATCTGAGTAAAAAGCTAAACTAAACCATTTAGACTTTATCTACCCCATTTTTTTATCTACCCCATTTTTGCTTTGCAACTTCTTCTTACCATTCTCTTATAACCATTTAAATCCAGTCATTTAAGTAAAATTTAACTAAATTTCCCACAGGTCAAACCTAAGCAATTAAGCCCTTGGTTTGGCAGTAATAAATAAGCCTAATGAAGCCTTTGGTTAAATAAATGGCACCTAAAGTTATGATATGGTCTTTCCAACTAGCATAACAAAAACACTAAATTTCTGCAATTGATTTTTGAAGAAACTAAAGATTAGAACGGAGAAGCTAAAAGACAGATGCTTTATAACACTTTAAAGTTGTATCATAAAACATTAAGTTAAACTCTGTACTCAAATGGTCTAGCAAAGGAAAAGTGATAACCAATTTAAAATAATTTGAAATGCAATTTTTAGGCTTGTTCAAAGTTTATTTGAAGGTGTTGGTTAACAATATTTCTAAGTATGCAGGCAAAATCTGTTAATGCCTGAATAAGATTCAAACTGTAAAAAATGTCTTTATTACCCAGCAAGCAAACAACGTCGTGTTAACGTCTAAGGAAGGTTGAAATTTCAACGTCGGAACTTTCAACGTTGCTTCCTCGT